TCACTCAGTCAGTTAGTCAGTCAGTCACCAAGTCTCACGCGATTAGCGAGACAATTTATGTCGTCTGTCTCAAATTGTTTGGGTGTCTATCTATCCTTATGTGGAGCGGCGGCCAAGTGTGCGCTGCCCTTAAGTGGAACCATCCTGCGTCGTCGGTAAGGAAGGGAGTATGCTGCACATGCACGCGACGGTGGTGACGTCAACCATTTGACCGGACCGAATCAAGGCCGCCTCCTTCTTGTCCCCGCCGCCGCCGCCGTTGCGTTCTCCACAATTGCGCTATTGATGCGGGGGCTTTTCTCTCTCTCCGCGGCCCGCCACAACGATGCGACAACGCAAGGTTAATTCAATGTACTTAACTGCGGCCGCTCCTCCGACGATGCGATCGCTATGAATGTCGGCCGTTCACCGAGTGGCACACAGAGAGCTCGACTTTAGCCTTCCATCGCAATGCAATTAACATTGAACCAACAACTAACAATAAAATTACATTTAAATAAGAATTTTTCAAGAAAAACATCTTTCTTTTAATATTAAAATGATACATGTTCAATAAATAGCCAATGTTGGCAGAATTAACAACATTTTCATGCATATTTATTCATATGATTGTGTCACCGAATTAAAATTAAATCAGGTCATTGCACAACATTACCACAGCAAAGTCACATGGAAGGAGAAAAACTTTTAAATAGGAATAAATAAACACCTGTTTTAATTCAAGCAACCATAATAATGAAATATGTAACAGTCTACATCAATACTAATACATATATTCTCAATAGTCATAATATCAAATTATTATTAATATACTAAATTGAAAATTATAATTTATATTACTAATTCAACGTAGAGGTATTGAATAGTACCGCGTCTAATTCAGGAATAGCCACTCTTAGCAAAACAGTACAAGATTCCAAACATAACTAATTGAAGATATTAATATTTAAAAGCTATTAGTGCAAATATCTTATACAAATTATACCGAGAAGCAACTAGAATAATATATCAAGAGATAGGTTTTTCATTTATCTTTTTGATCAAGTTATGTATGGTTTTTTATTTATTAATACAATATTTTTACGAATAACTTAATGATGAAATAAAGATGTAAATAATATATGCGATTTAGAACCTGGAACATTCGAACCATTTTGCGACCCAGCTCTATGATCAATATAGACAAAGAGACTCGACTTGAATTGCAATATCGGAGATATGATGGAAAAGTAAAGGTAGGTACTATAAATAAAAGAGATTACTCGTTGTATTTCTGTGGCAATGAAGAATGACTAAGAGAATGCGGAGTTGGATTCATAATACCCAAAAGAATCCATACATCAGATAATAATCAATGGATCATAATAATAAAAGAACAACTTCACAATACATCTTCATGCTACAACTGCAACTGCAGAAAAGCATGGTGTCGATAGCTTGTATGATGAACTAACAAACAGTATGTGAGAGAATTTCAAAACATGATGATGTTATATAGTCCTAGAAGATTTTAATACTAAACTTGGGAGAGAGGACTGTTTTACCGATATTTTTGGTAAAACAACCTCCATGAAGAAACAAGTAGTGGGATTCAGAAATACACTATTTGTTGCAAGAACTTGAAAGTCATGAGCACTTTACCCCTGCGGAAAAATATGCATTGAGAAACGTGGCAGATACCGAAAACAAATGAGATCAACCAAATGGAGCATGTCTTAATCTGTGAGAGATGGTACTACTTCTATCCAGAACATTATTAAATGTCAGATTAATAAAAGCAACTTTAGTACCACAGCGTGAAGCGCTGTTGCACTAATCTATACTGTTCAGTCTAGTGGTGGAAGCAGCCATCGAAAAATTATATGCTGCTGAGTATTTTGATACTAAAACATCGCAGTATGGATAAATGTTGATGACATAGCAATTATCAGTGGAAATGTGTAAGGACTGAAAAAAAAAACTTTATCATATTAGCCAACGATATGCAGAGAAAAGGGCTGGAAATAAACGGAGGCAAGATTAACATGACACTACAACGAAACACGTTTGAAACAGTACAATAATTTTTCTATCTAGGTTCACAAATTATATAGAATTGCTCATGCAGTAATTAAATGAACTCCTTTGACGTAAACGGTGCTACTCAAATCTGAAATGTTGAGCAGAAATATATAACTAACTGTATGTATCGGCTATATAAAGGCTTTATTAGACCAATAGTTAAACAGTTCATAAGACATTTGAATGAAAAGTTTGACGGCGCCATGAATCGGCGTCTTGGACCCATTACAAAGTCTTGGGAAGTTGTATCTTCTGCCTCTGTAAATGTGATCCACGTAGTTTGTCTTTCGTTTGTTTACAATTGCTAGAATCTTTCTATCCACATTCATTCTTCTTACAATTAGTGCCGATTGAATGGTAGTGTGTTTCGTCTACAATATTTTAAGCAGAATGTCTTACCGATATTTAAAAGTGTTTAGCGATACTGTGCGGTTTGTTAGTAATTTCTTCATTCTGAGGACTGTGCTCCTTGCATTTTCTATGCGACATCGCACTTCTACTTCCAGATTCAAATCCCCTTATTATTCAGCATCCCAGGTCTTTCTCTCGAAATCGTGTTAATACCATTTTGTAGCCTTTCGTGGCTGTTAGCCACCATAACAGTATTAGTCGTATATCTTATAGTAGTATTATTCATAAGTCTTCCATTGACTTTTATTCTTTTCTAGATGTTTATTCTTGCGTGTTGAAGAAGTATATGTTGTTGCACAGCTGTTGGTCAATTTATGTTCCATCCTTATGGATGCTGTTTGCTCCCAGTACACATTTTTGATCATATTGACGTTGTAATTTTTCGAATTCTAAACAGCGTTTTTCGAACCAACTTTCTTTTCCCTTCCATATGAGTTTTGTAATGTTTTTGTGGATTTTCTTCCATTTCTTGTTGTTTTTGTGCTTGTACTTTCTTCTTTCCCCCCTCCAAGTTAGAATTTTTTCAATCATCCAATTTTGTTTTGCTCTCTTACTCTTTTAAATGCCTGCTACTGGCACCTCTATTGTTTCTGTTATATTCAGTTGTTTAATTATTTTTATTATTCAGTTGCACTGATATTTTATCTTTTGTTTCTTCATTTTCTTCTTGGACCTTCTTTAGTTTAATCTCAAATCTGAACCAATGTCTCAACCAGCTTCTCATTCCGTTTCTATTCCGTTTATCTATCAATATATAGACTATCTAATTTCTTATTACCGTTTTTATTGTCACCTGGTCCTTTCCATGCGTACAGTCGCCTTTTTGGACGTTGAAACCATGTATTCCCTCTCATTACGTTTTCGCTAAGACCATAATCTCCCACTATGACTCCTCCTTTTCCTATTTTTGTTTTAAACTCGCCCATGATTCAAGATTGTTTGCGGTTATGTCGCTTTAACCGTTAGAGGTAGACTAAAAATCCTGTTCAACGGTGTAGATTTGTAAAAAGTAACCATTTTGACGTTTATGCCGTTTTGCCTTGGCAGTGACGGTCTTTTCCACATTTTGTCCATTATTGTTGGGACACCATTATAGTGTTGACGGTTGTCATTACCTATATAATACATGATATAGTCATCAATGTCGGTTTGACGTGTTTCGGACCATCTGACGTCGCTCACACCCAGTATGTTTATGTGCTTTCGTGAATTCTCTTCTTCTGTTCGTCCCGATCTATGTGTTTAACGTTGTAGTTCCCATCAGCAATAAATCTTTTTCCTAAATGTGCCAGGAGTGTTACGTATCTCTCTTTTGTGCGTTATGTAGGCTGTAAACTACATCGACACTCAATTTTTGTTTTGATGACTTAACTCCGATTACTGTTAGTTGTACTACCAGCTTTGGCTTGATAATAAAAAAATGCACTTCATTGTAATTTACAAAGATTGCTGTCGTAATTAACATAAAGAAACCTGTATTACATAATTTCGCCAGTGATCTCAGGATTTTTCCCGAAAACTGAAGCTCAGTCTTCGTACGAGCTTAATGCAACCAACCGGGAGAGGCAAGATATCGAACGAAGTTATCCTTCATCAACACAAACGTATTCCAAAAAAATTTATTATCTTGTGTGGCACTTCGCAGCATCTTTTGTCAATTGCGTCTCTAACACATCGAACATCGTCCATGGACTTCCTCAACGTCATTAGTAGTCTCATACCATAATCTCTTAACCTCTCTTACTTTTCAGAGTAATCCCTTATCTACCCCGATATTTCGCCAAAAATCTTTCATTATCTTACCCTGTATCTATCAGCATCGTTCCAACCCTTTCTCATCATTGTTGTTACACTTTTAACCCGCTTAACATTCTGAGTATGCCCTCTATAAAATTGAGGTCTGGAAAAATTTTGGGTTAACTTCGCATATATGGCAAATTAAGTTTCGCAGTTTCGTTCATGATAGATTACGTTACAAATAATTTTCGACTTTCAATTTTATCTCATCCCTCCATTTTATAGCTGTTATCATATATTAATATAGTACGGTTACTAATAAGTAATTATTTCATATTTTTAATAAAAATTTTTGTGTTATTTACCGTTGTACTAACTATATTATTACTTCTATGATATAAATTATGAGCAGTACGATCTAAATATTTTACCGCTACAGAAAAATCATTTTTGAATTGTAACCCAGTTATCGTTTTAATTAAATAGATTTACGAACTCTACTGAAAACCAGTCCTATAAATCCTAATTAAACTAACAGTATTCGCGCATCGTAAAGCAACATTCGATATATCATTATAAAAGGTGTACTTGCAAAACTCTGGACCTCAACCTCGTTACTTCTGCAAGGCTAATACTTGATTATTACGTATGTAAATAACATAATTGATGTATGATTGCCTGCCTTGTACAAGGTACTCCGTGCTCTTCAAAGAGCACGTAATAATAGTAATGCGGGTAGGTAGTAATAAAGTATGGTGCAGTTGATGATGGGTTTTGGTGAATTTACTTACGATTGGTACAGTCTTAGATACAGTTCTTTTTTGCGATGTCAACGTTGTGGCTAGCCTGCAACAAAAAAAAAACACAATGTAAAATTAAGAAAGATTGAACGTTGTAGCTTTCTAAGTAAGCGTCGTATCCTTGAAATTTTATAGCCCGGCGATTTCGCTGGGCGCGTAAATAAGTGCGGTTTCTTAAATTGTTTCGAAAGTAGTTTTCGAGTCCTAAAACGAAACGGCTAAAGAGATCGGAATTTCGCAACAAATTTAGTACAATTACTAATTTATTTTTATAACTTCCTTTACAACTTTATCGTAGCATTATCTGCAGTAACAGTGTCGCACGGATAATATTCGCTTGTTGTTGAGAGACATGCTGTGTGATGCAATTAATGTCATGTTATTTAATTCCGTCTAATTTAAAGTTTAATGTACTGGAATTACGAGCGTTATTGCAACTATCAAACGAGTGGACTTGAGTTTATGTTTCATTTTTCGAAATATTTAACAGTTTAGATTTGAATGCCCCCCAATGATAAAGTGAAGAGATAAAATTATAATAAACAAAGTTATTGTTGCATTATCAAAATGTAATTTTAAAAATAACTTTAATGCATGCCTAAAGATCAAGGTCGTGGCAGCTTTCAGATTGAGAATAGACATCAAACAAGAATAATGAGAATAATAATTTCAATTTCATTGAATGACAGAAATATCCCATACGCTTATTTTGAGTTATGTCGACATTGTAAAAGTGTAGGTAGGTAAGTTCGTATACTGCACATTGTGTTTACCTATTGTATCGATATCTCCAGACAGTAATGCTGCGGCGATAAGCGAAACGAACACAAACAACAACGAACGCGCACACACACATTTGTATTGAAAAGGCAACAACGACACAACCAACCAACTCCGACGTTCAATAAGGAAAAAAGTACAATACGGAATCGGTTATCGTTTGCTAACAATGTCGCGTAATATGCAAGTAGAACTGTAGGATGACGTCATATTTGCATCCAAGGACATTGGCAAAAAAACAAGAAGAAATTTAGTGGTGGTGAAATCGTTTTAACAAAATTTACATATTTATGATCATACGGTAATTCTTTTAAGTATTACTACTTCATTCAAACTTTTCCGTTCATTGTGGTGTACCGCTGATAATATATTTGCACAATAATGAGTCATTGACACCAGAGAATTTTGCCGGAAACTGCATTATCTAGTGACGTTAATATTCGCAATGTAACATCTTTGATGAATAACGTCTCGTGTAGGATTATTAATTCTAAGAACTCGACAGCTATAAATCTTATAATAATTTGTAAAAGTAATAAATTAACCCAAAAACAATTTCAATCGTAGCAAGAATACTACGCAACAAATTTGAATAATGATACTAATAATACTGATTCAATCTGGCAAAGAGTGTATAAGATATTATTTATTATATAAGCCGCACATATTTTTCTAAATTACTATGAAAACGGCCAACACAACGAGATGTGAACAATAGCGATTAAACTTAGACAACTTGTACAAACTTATAAGACGTGAAATCTCGAAGTTCAAAAAGGTGCTTTTGGATATAGAGCACAACGTTTCTAAACTTATTCCGGGAGGTTCACATACCAATATTGATAGGTTTAAAGATAGAGGCAATCAAAGGCAGAAAAGAAGTGATTTGAAAACAAAATATGAAACATATAAATTCGAATATATCACAACAGCATCAATATGAGTTGAAATCGAGAGTCTAGAGTCAATAAGAACACCAAAATATCATATGCATTTGTTTAGAATAGATTGAGTACATTCATCAATTTAAGAAAAGATTATGTGCAATTTTTTACAGTCGCCAACTAATACAAAATCATCTTTCTGAAATGAACTACTCGTATCACGAAGTGATCTTATCAATTTTGTCCGCTCCGGTTTTGGGGTTAATTCGTGATGAAGCAGAGGGTCACCAACCAGAGAGCCGTTAATAAAAACAGAACTAAAATAGTCCTCGAGTAGGTCACAGACATCTTTCTCGCCTTTCATGATTCATTTGCGATAGGATGTTCTGCTGATGATATTAAGTTTTTCGGTTTTTTTAGATTTAATATGATAAAGAGTGTCGAGATAAGAAAAACTTATAAATCAGCTGAAATTAATGTTCTATACTAATTGCTGTAACTTCCAATTTTTATGATATTTGAATGGTTTCACAGGAAGTATGTTTATCAAGCGGATAATCCTAAAAGAGTCAACATGAATATGAAAGCATAGAATGAAGGGTTGCGAAGAATTTAGAAGTTTCTGGAACGTAGTGAAGAAGTTGTAAAGGACCAATGCAAAGTGTAATGAACCAAAATGAAGAGTTACAAACTACCAGTAAAAATATAGTGAAAACATGGAAGGGTTATTACGCAGCAAGATTTAAAGAATGAGAAAGGAAGAAGAGGGTACAGAAGAACAAATAGACTAGAAGGGAAGAGAAAATGGCGAAAGGGGAGTTGAGCATAAAAGTAGTGCGAGAAGCTCTAAAGATCGTCCAAAATGGAAAAGCAACAGGCGAAGATACAATATCATCAGAACTACTAAAAGAAACTAGCAGTATAACGGTAGCTGAAAAAAATACTCCAGCAGCATTGAAGTACTGAAATAATACCTCAAGATCATGCTATTCCAAAAAAAGGAGAAACCACTAGTTGCTTACAGAGCAGTCATTTGGCGCCCATGGCTTTACTCGAAAATTTTAGAAAAACGATTAAGTGCGAAGATACAGGACAGACTTGAAGAAGAGCAAAAGTTCCGACTTACTAGACAAAGACAGAATCACATACACCCTCAGAGCTATAATAGAGAAAACAGTAGACAGAGAAATAAGGATATATAACTAGCCTTTTTGTACCTAAAAGCCTTTGACCAGGTACTGAGACAACATATACTTACTTCCATAAAAATTGCACCACCTAAAATTTATTGAAATTTTCAATTTGTCAACGATGTTTTTCATTAGAACAAACAAACGATTAAAATTTGAAAACAAAAGAACAAAAACTACTACTTTTTTTTCGATAATGAGTTGCTCCGCCACGATTTGTAATGCACTCATTTAGACGGCATGGCATGGTATCAATCAAGTGATCTATAGCTGCCTGTGGTATATCAACCCAAGTTTCTTGAATCCGTACCCATGGATCGTGTAAGTTATCTGGAGGGTGTGGTAAATTACCTAGTCGCCTACCGATTTCATCCCATACATGTTTAATGGGGGTGACAAATCAGGCGACCGAGCAGGCCATGGGAGGACGGCAATGTTAGCTTCTTCCAAAAAACCTGTTGTAGCCTTGTTCCAGCCCCTGAAGATATGGAAGCCCAACGGGTTCTAGCACATTGGCAATATAACGAGTGGCGTTTAAGTTGCCATCAATGAAGACCAAGGGTGACCTGCTACCGTAACATATTGTTTATATCATCACTCTTTGTGTGAGGGCTATGTTGCATTCCACAAAAAATGCTGGATTTTTACGTTCTCCACGCATCCGTCTGACCCTCCTACAAGCATCGTGGGCCCACAAGCAAACTCGTCACTAAACACAATTCGATGTCATTCTTGCACCCAATTCGTTCGTTCGTTGCTCCATTCTAGCCTGAGTAGACGGTAAAGTGGTGTAAGAGGAAGACATAAAAATGGACGATATGAACGCAGCCCATAAGACCTTATTCGGCGATAAACAGATGACATTGACATTCTGGGTCCTACACTTCTCATCCAATCATTTGCAATCGATCGAGTTGTTGAAAATTTGTCTCTTGTAGCCAAAAGTCTTAAACAACGTTCCTCGCGATCTGTAGTCTTGCGGGGACGTCCAGATCCAGGGTGACGTTTTTGCAACATCTCAATATCGTTGTAACATTTCGGTTTACACGACGAGCAATCTTATTTCTCTTAGCAAAAAATCTGGCCTCTCTCTTGCCAATAATACGGCCACGTTCAAAATCAGTCAGTTGGGAAAAATGTTGATGTTGACGTACTCTTGGCATTGTTCCCAAGTTCAGAACGAAATTGTGAATAATAATTTGCAAAATTGATAGTTAATTATACACTGATTTGTTTATTTCTTCAAATTTATTGTTACTAAGTGCAAAGGAAAAAACAAAAAAAAACAAACTACTAGCTAGATTTTATTTAAATTTTAATCGTTTGTTTGTTCTAATGATAGACATCGTTGACGAAAATTTCAATTAAATCGTTCAACAAATTCTAGGTGTTGCAATTTTTATGGAACTATGATGTAACCGTATAACCTTATAGTTGTCAATTTTTTGCGATCAAAAAATTCCATCTAATCTATTTTTATGCAAGTCAGTATACAGGGTGATTCTCAACCTAAACGCATAAACATGGGGATTTCCTCCTCATGACGAATAATGACTAATAGGCGAAAAAATTTTTAGTAAAAGATTTTCTGTTTCATAGATATAAAACAAGAATACATAGAACATTTTAAAATAACATCACAGCAAGTGTTTGAAGTTATTTCCCATTTTTTTTTATCCATTGGATATCTAGGTATCTAGGAAATCTAGGCTAATATATCTAGGAAATTAAAAAATTTTTACTACAATTTTTTTCATCAATGAGTCAATATTTGTCATAAGAAAGAACTTTCCAAGTTGATGCGTATAGGTTGAGAATCACCCTGTATAAGCATTGAGCGAACTGGGAACTCGATTAAACAAATGAAGAATGATCAAATGTATATTCAGAAATTGCAGAAATAAAAAAGTGTATAAGTTTATAATGACATTTTGGAGGCTTACATTGATACAACAATAAAACAAGCCAAAAACCACACAAGACGAACAAGATTGGGATACCAGAAACTAATTCCGATCTGCACACGAGACAATATACGCAGACAATATTGTACTAATGTCAGGCAAGTGTCCTACAAAGAGACAACCAAATATGGAAAGCCTGTCTATAAGAGAATGGAATTATAATAAATAGGAACAAAACCAAGATAATTTTTTATCTTGGTTTTGTTATATGTTAGATAGATGTAAGAA